AGAGAGAGAGAGAGAGAGAGACCTATTGAATCTTAAGAGTGACTCTCGGACTGGAGTGATTAAGGGCATTTGCTATTCTTGTAGAGGACTCAGGTTGGGTTCCCAGGACTTACATAGCTGCTCACAACTGCCTGTAACTACAGTTCCAGGGAATCTGATCCCCTCTTCTGGCCTCTCTGGGCCTTGCATGCACATAGTGCACATACAAACAGGCAGGGACACACACATAAAAATAAAAATTTATTAAAGAGTGGCTCTCAGTCCTTAAATCTCATTGCCCCTTTGTTCAGCCATTTGTTGCAGATGCTGTCACTTGATCCAGCTAGACAGTTGTAACTATAATTGAAAGTTCACTCAAGGCAGATATTGTCACATCAGTGTTGAGTGAACCTTCCATACAAGATACTTCCAAAGGCCCCAAGGGTCCAGAGACCAAGGGTTTCTCCAGACTAACACAACAGTTTGTCTATCTGTAGCTACACCTGCTAGACACCATTGCGCCGTGTGTCTCATAAGTTAGCCTAAACCTCATTCTCCTTATACCAAATTACACCTAGCAGATAGGTTGTATGGTTCAAAGAAATATCTATTGCCTTCACTTGTGTCTAACAACTGGAAGCTTTCAGTCACTCCAGAGAAGATTTCAATGGTTGTGATGTCCCCACTCTGCTTAGTTTTGTCTGAGCACAAAAAATGAGACTACCAATGGATAGTGACTATTCTCTGCTCTTTTCTATGACTGTGCCTATTGCATTAGTGTGGCAGAGACTCCAGGAAAGATTTCAGCACTTCCTTCTTGATGGCTTGGCTTTGCTGGAGGGATGCTTGGTGATAGCACCATTGCTGGGGTGCTGGGTGTTGGGAAGGACCAAACCAGAGTGGTAGCTGGGAAGTGACTTCTAGTGCTGTCCTGTTTCAGGAGACCACTCTTGACATGTTAGTACTTAAACTTGTATAAGAATATTTTGAAAGTTTCCAGAAATAACAATGGACTTTGAGGGACCCATGTACCAGATAAATACAGAGAAGAATTTTGCATAAGACCTTATTTATATCTATCAATGTCCAGAGAAAACTGACAATAACTTCTTGAAGAACCTATATCAGGAGCTGTGGAAAGAAGTTAGTGACAGAAAGAGCCCAAAGAATCATCTTCTGAGA